GTGGAAGAATACATTTGAACTTCCTATCATATCCTCTGCTTCAACACGAGATTCCTGCAATTTTCTACAGTTTTAAATTAAACACCTTTGTTGTTCCCCATCTGGTTCAGTACCAGAGAACTTCAGTTTCAACACTGGATTTCTGCTCTTGTTCCAAAAGTGTTTCTAAATCAAAGACTCCAGTTCAAACATTCAACTCGTGCACTTGTTCCAAACCTCACCACTTGCATGGCTACACATCAATCCATAACTATCGGGTATGTTATTGTTACGTCTCTGTTTGCTAATTAACTTTCCGTAACTTCATTCCGACGAAACTTTAGCGACACAATTCCTTACTTAATAAAACTGGTTTATTCTTTCCGAATATAACTTTACGATACACTTAATTTCAACAATCGCGCCAAAACAAACGCTAGAACAACGAACGTGCTCAATAATACTCTTTGACTGCAGATCAATTACTCACTGTCTACACGCACATTATCCCGTCACATTGTGAGCATCTTATTTATATACTAGAAAAACATATAAACTAGTAAATGCTAGGGCATTCACGAAGGAACAAGATACTTCTAGAAAACAGGTGGCGTCACACTAGTCACGTGACCTCGCTGACGCAACACTGCCCCCTCCTTAGTAATGTTCGTCCTGAACAATAGCCACTTACAATAAACCAATAACAATTAACAATAACTTAATTAAAATGTACAGAATTACAAACACAAAATTACAAATCAACAAAGTCTCTTAATTTTATGGGACGTATCTTCTTCCATACTGGTCTCCGTCTTGTTGGCTTCTGCATCAAGTGGGGTTATCTGCTTCATCAAGAAATGTCCTATCGTCGGTAACAGTCACATCAGTAGTAGTAACTTCATCAAGAGCTTCACTGTTTCCCTTCACAAAACTGAGTAGAGTTTCTTCTTCAACATTGGCTTTTTCAGGTAGCACGTCTTCAGCAGCGTCATTTGTTCCTTTGTTCACCTCGTCCCAACTGAAATGTCCTGGACCGTGATAACACCAAAGCCTGTTGGCATGCACCACTTTTGGCTTACCTCGCCGACCACATTTTACACGGAAAGTCACGTCTGAGAGACGATCCACTATGTCATATGGGCCTTCCCATGGACAAGACAACTTAGGAGACTTCCCTTTGGTCTTCCTGGGATTATACAACTACACCTTGTCTCCTGGTTCAAAGCTGACTTCAGTAGATCTCTTATCATAAGTTAACTTCATCGAATCAGCAGACGTTTTCAAGTTTGAACGCACTTGATGGTGGATATCACCCATCCTTTCCGATAACACTTTCACAAACTCTGACACATTTTCAGGCAACTCTTCATAAGGTGGGCGTCCTGTTAACAGATCCACTGGCAACCGATGTTCCCGATCAAACATCAACTTTGCTGGAGTGTATCCAGTGGTTTCATGCTCTGCTGTCCTATAGGCCATCAACAGTGGAGGGAGTAAGACATCTCAGTCATCTTGACGGCTATTACAAAACTTTACCAATTCCTGTCCCAGTGTCCAGTTGTACTTTTCTACCATCCCATCAGACTGTGGGTGAAGTGGCGTTGTCCTGGTCTTTCGGATGCCAAACAACTTGCAGCATTCTTGGAACACAGCTGATTCAAAGTTACGGCCTTGATCTGAATGCAGTTCATATGGCATAACAAATCTGAAGAAGAAGTCACTAATAGCCAAAGCTACAGTTGTAGCTTCCTGATTTGGTATTGCATATGCCTCAGGCCACTTGGTGAAATAATCCATCACCAAACAAATCTATCTGTTTCCAGCATGGGTTTGGGGCAAAGGACCAGCAATGTCGACGGCTACTCTTTCCATTGGTGCACCAACTAGATATAACTTCATTGGAGCACGTCCCTTATGCTTGGGTCCCCTTTTAGCACAACAT